TGTTGCTGCTGCTGCTGCTGTTGCTGCTGCTGCAGCTGCTACTGCTGCTGCTACTGCTGCTGTGTACCTGCTGCTCCATCAGGCGCCTGCTGTAGTGCTCCTGCTGATACTGCTACTGCTGCTGCTGCTACTACTGCTACTGCTGCTGCTACTGCTGCTGCTGCTACTGCTACTGTTGCTGCTACTGCTGCTGCTACTGCTGCTGCTGCTACTACTGCTACTGCTGCTACTGCTGCTACTGCTGCTGCTACTGCTGCTGCTGCTACTGCTGCTGCTGCTACTGCTGCTGCTGCTACTACTGCTACTACTGCTGCTGCTACTGCTGCTACTGTTGCTACTGTTGCTACTGCTACTACTGCTGCAGCTGTGTACCTGCTACTGCTACTGCTGCTACTGCTGCTGCTGCTACTGCTGCTACTACTACTGCTGCTGCTACTGCTGCTACTACTACTGCTGCTACTGCTGCTGCTACTGCTGCTACTGCTGCTACTGCTGCTGCTACTGCTGCAGCTGCTACTGCTGCTGCTGTTGCTGCTGCTGCAGCTGCTACTGCTGCTGCTGTTGCTGCTGCTGCAGCTGCTACTGCTGCTGCTACTGCTGCTGTGTACCTGCTGCTCCATCAGGCGCCTCCTGTAGTGCTCCTGCTGCTACTGCTGCTACTACTACAGCTGCTGCTACTGCTGCAGCTGCAGCTGTGTACCTGCTGCTCCATCAGGCGCCTCCTGTAGTGCTCCTGTTCGACGAGCCGCTGCCTCTCGTCCACCAAGAGCATCTTCTGCTTGAGCAGCGACGCCTGCGTGGGGTCCCCCAGGAAGGGGCCCCCCCCACCTCCACCACCACCGGGGGGGGGGCCCCCCACAACACCGGGGGGCCCCCCACCACCACCACCGGGGGGCCCCCCCCCACCGCTGACGCCGCCCGGGACCCCGGGCCCGCAAGGACGTGGTCCCATCATGGCCGCCGCTTGCTCCTGCGAATAGAAAACAACAAGGAACGGGGGGGGTTCACGATGAGAGATGTTGACTACCTCGCCTGGTACGCAGGAGGTCATGGGTTCGATCGCAGATACTAAGAGATGTTGACTACCTCGCCTGGTGCACAGGAGATCGTGGGTTCGATCGCAGACACTGAGAGATGTTGACTACCTCGCCTGGTACACAGGAGGTCGTGGGTTCGATCGCAGACACTGATAGATGTTGACTACCTCGCCTGGTGCACAGGAGATCGTGGGTTCGATCGCAGACACTGAGAGATGTTGACTACCTCGCCTGGTGCACAGGAGATCGTGGGTTCGATCGCAGACACTGAGAGATGTTGACTACCTCGCCTGGTGCACAGGAGATCGTGGGTTCGATCGCAGACACTGAGAGATGTTGACTACCTCGCCTGGTGCACAGGAGGTCGTGGGTTCAATCCCAGACACTGAGAGATGTTGACTACCTCGCCTGGTGCACAGGAGGTCGTGGGTTCAATCCCAGACACTGAGAGATGTTGACTACCTCGCCTGGTACTTAGAAGGTCGTGATCCTAGACCCTGAGAGAGGTTGACTACATCGCCTGGTACACCAGTCGAGGTAGTCAACATCTCCTAGCCACCGTGATGATGATGAGAGACGCAGACTTCACATAGACAGCAGCAGCAGGCGTCGTCAGGGTAGGGATCAAACCCACGACCTCCTGTACACCAGGCGAGGTCGTCAACATCTCCTCGTCACCGTGATGATGATGATGAGAGAGACGCAGACTCCAAATATACAGCAGCAGCAGGCATCGTCAGGATCGGAATTGAACCAAAAAACCTCCTGTAAGCCAGGCGAGGTAGTCAACATCTCCTCGCCACCGTGATGATGATGAGAGAGAGACGCAGACTCCACATCTACAGCAGCAGGCGTCGTCGGGGTCGGGATGGAACCCGCGACCTCCTGTACACCAGGCGAGGTAGTCAACATCTCCTCGCCACCGTGATGATGATGAGAGAGAGACGCAGACTCCAAATAAACAGCAGCAGGCGTCGTCAGGGTCGAGATAGAACCAAAAAACCTCCTGTACACCAGGCGAGGTAGTCAACATCTCCTCGCCACCGTGATGATGATGATGAGAGAGACGCAGACTCCAAATATACAGCAGCAGCAGGCATCGTCAGGATCGGAATTGAACCAAAAAACCTCCTGTAAGCCAGGCGAGGTAGTCAACATCTCGCCTGTAACAGACTGTAGGGTCAAGTGCTGTTATTCAGTAGCACCCATGAAGGCCGGCACGGCACACGAGGGGGTGGGTGGCCAACACCACGCCCGGCCGCCTTTGTCTCCCCTAGTGGCGATGTTTGCTACACCGCACCAGGTACTCATTTTTAGGCTGAGTCGACCTAGCGGAGGCCCACGACCGATACAATAATCGTCACTGGGTGGTGTTGGTGGCCGTGAGCGGGAATCGAACTCGTGTGTCTGCCAGGTTCGTAGCGCAGCATAGCACTAACCGCTGCACCACCACTCACAGACACACACACAGAGACACACACACAGACAACACAGACACACACACACAGAGACAACTACAACCGCCATTCGCCACTAAGTGGTGGTGACGTCACCACGACGCTTGTGCCAGGCCACAGAGACACACACACAGAGACACACACACACACACAGAGACACACACACATAGAGACACACACAGAGGCACACACACAGAAACACACACACAGACACACACACACACACAGACACACACACACACAGACACACACACACAGAGACACACACACAGAGACACACACACAGAGACACACAAACACACAGAGACACACACACACAGACAAACACACACACACACAAAGACACACACACAGACACACAGACACACACAGAGACACACAAACAAACACACACACAGAGACACACACACAGAGACACACACAGACACACACACTCACACACAGACACACACACACTCACACACAGACACACACACAGACACACACACACTCACACACAGACACACACACAGAGACACACACACAAACACACACAGAGACACAGACAAACACACACTGAGATACACACACACAGAGACACACACAGAAAAACACACAGACAAACACACAGAGACACACAGAGACACACACAAACACACAAACACACAAACAGACAAACACACACTAACACACACACACACAGAGACACACACACACAAACACACACACACACAAACACAGACAGACACACACAGAGACAAACACAAACACACACACACACAGACACAGTCACGCAAACCACCCCCGCCACCCCTCCCGGCTGTACCTGAGTGAGATGTGGTGCCAGCTGCCTGTACTGCAAGCTGGCCGCGTGCATCATCCGCTGCTGCTGCTGCTGCTGCTGCTGCAGCTTCATGAGATGAAAATGTTTCTGTTGCTCCAGCGGATGGTGCTGCTGCTGCTGCTGCTGCCTCTGCTGCTGCTGCTGCTGCTGCACGGCAAAACCAACCGGCGCTACCGCCCCCACCGCCTTCACCCTCGTCGCCAACATGGCAGCAGCCGCAGCAGCAGCAGCGGCACCAGCGGGACTCTGCGTTGGCTCCGGGTCGAAGTGTGAAAGTGGCTTCGTGTTGTCGAACGTCAACTGGAGCTGCAGCTGCTGCTGCTGCTGCTGTTGCAGCTGCTGCTGCTGCTGCTGTAGCAACTGCTGCTGCTGCTGTTGTAGCAGCTCAGGAACGTCCCTGTGCATCAGAGACGCCATGTGACTCAGATGCTGCTGCTGCTGCTGTTGTTGTTGCTGTTGTTGTTGTTGCGCCGATCCGGCAAACATGTAACCGCCGCCGCCGCCGCCACCGGCACCAGCCACCACCAGCGTCTTCGTAGGTCCGGCGCCACCAGCGCCACCGCCGCCCATCGCCGTAGCGCCATTGGTGCCGCCACCTTGGAGTGCCGCCACCATGTTGCCCTGCAGCATGGCGGCGTGGGAGGACGCAAAGCCCTGCTGCTGCTGCTGCTGCTGCTGCGTCATGGGTGGCCAGTTCATCACCTGCTGCTGCTGCTGCTGCAGTTTGGCGCGCTGCTGGCTAGCGGCGATCTGCTGCAGCTGCTGGGCCGGCGATGGTTCGATCTGTCCGTGGAACGACCGGCAAGTCAGCTGCTGCTGTTGCTGCTGATGCTGTGGTGACGGCACGTGCTGCTGCTGCTGCTGCTGCTGATGCTGCTGCTGCTGCCCGGAGGAGGACAGCGGCCTCATGGGAGAGTTCGCCACCAAGTTGCCATAGCCCGGCGACATGACCTGCCTCAGCCCGGGGCTGGGAGCGCCGGCGAGCGGGGAGCACTTGGCGGCGGTGCCGTTGGCGCCGGCTGCCGCTGCCGCAGCGGCCGCGGCAGCGGCGGCGGCAGCTGCGGCCGCCGCTGCTGCTGCCGCCACCGCCTGCTTGTTCAACTGCTGCTGCTGATGCTGCTGCTGCTGTTGATGCTGCTGCTGCTGATGCTGATGATGATGGATGGCGCCGGCATCGTCCGTCGAACAAACCGCAGACGGTGCCGCGGCCGAGCCGATGCCACAGCCGCCGATATTCTTACCGATGCCGCCACCACCGTGACTATTGCTGCCGCTGTTGCTGCTGCTTTGGCTGCGATTGCCGCTGCCGCTGCTGCTGTTCGTGGCGGCGGCGCCGGCGCTGCTGCTGCTGCTGCTGTTGCCCGCCCCGCCGGCGCCCGCTCCGCCCAGCATGCTGTCGAAGTCGATGCCGTTCATGTCTTCGTCGCCCAGACCCCGCGTCAGCTCGTCCAGGATGTCCTGCAGCTCCGTGTCGAAGAAGTCAGGGCCCTGCATCATCTCGTCGGCGCTGTCCAGCTCGTCCGCCGGCTCCTGCTTGAGCACGAACGGGGGAGCGCCGCCGCCGCCGGCACCGGCCGAGTCTCCCGGCGTCGTCACCGGCGGTGGTACAGGCGGTAGTGCCGGTGGTGGTGCCGCGCAGGAGCCGTTCTGCCCGTTCTTGAGAGTGCCCGGGTCGAGACGGGGCGACGATGACATTGGCTGCGTCGCCCCGTGGTTGTGATGCTGCTGCTGCTGCTGCTGTTGTAGCAGATGGTGCTGATGCTGCTGCTGCTGCTGCTGATGATGTTGATGTTGATGCTGTTGTTGCTGCTGGTGGTGGTGCTGCTGGTGACCGTGGTGGTGGTGACCGTGGTGGTGGTGGTGCGGGTGGTGATCGTGGTGGTGGTGGCCGTGGTGGTGGCCGTGGTGGCGGCCGTGGTGCTGCTGCGGGTGAGTGCCCAGCTCCGATTTGATGTCGGGGTTGTTGTTGTTGTTGTTGACGACGGCGGTGGTGCCGGAGCGGGCGCCCAAGTCGGGAGGGTCTCCGCGCCGCGCCAGCTTGGCCATGGGGCCCGCGACGTACGACGACGACGACGACGAGGAGGAGGAGGGGGGGGCCGACGAGGATGAGGGGGGGCCCGACGATGAGGGGTCTGGGGGGCCGGGTCCCAGGGCGCCGTTGGGCCGGTCCGGGGGCGCCGACGAGGGGGGCGGAGGAGGCGCCGGGGAGGGGCTCTCGTCCAGACGGCGCTTCAGCTGACCCTGCAGCTGCACCCGCACGGGGAGAGGGACACGGGGAGATGGACAGATGGGACACGGGGAGAGGGACACGGGGAGAGGGACACGGGGAGATGGACACGGGGAGAGGGACACGGGGAGATGGACACGGGGAGAGGGACACGGGGAGAGGGACACGGGGAGAGGGACACGGGGAGAGGGACACGGGGAGACGGGGAGAGGGGCACGGGGAGATGGACACGGGGAGAGGGACACGGGGAGAGGGACACGGGGAGATGGACACGGGGAGAGGGACACGGGGAGACGGGGAGAGGGGCACGGGGAGATGGACACGGGGAGATGGATACGGGGAGATGGACACGGGGAGAGGGACACGGGGAGAGAGACACGGGGAGAGGGACACGGGGAGAGGGACACGGGGAGAGGGACACGGGGAGACGGGGAGAGGGACACGGAGAGACGGACACGGGGAGAGGGACGCGGGGAGACGAACACGGGGAAAAGGACACGGGGAGATGGGGAGGGGGAGATGGGCACGGGGAGAGGGACACGGAGAGGTGGACACGGGGAGAGGGACACGGGGAGACGGACACAGGGAGTGAGACACGGGGAGATGGACACGGGGAGATGAACACGGGGAGATGGACACGGGGAGATGGACACAGGGAGATGGACACGGGGAGTCAAACACGAGGAGAAGGGGAGGGGGGACACGGGGAGATGGACACAGGGAGATGGGACACGGGAGAAGGGGAGAGGGACACGGGGAGAGGGACACGGGGAGATGGACACAGGGAGGAGGGGGGAGACATGGGAAGGAAAAGGAATGACCTCTTGTCTCTTACACACTTCGATAGTGCTATTTGTTGCTGGCCGTTATAACAGTAGACTCACACAAGGACCCATAGACTCACCATACAGAGACCCAAAGACTCACCATACAGAGACCCATAGACTCACAGAGACCCATAGATTCATAGCACAGACACCCATAGACTCAGAGACCCATAGACTCACAGAGACCCATAGACTCACAGAGACCCATAGACTCACAGAGACCCATAGACTCGAAGAGACCCGCCTTGTCACAATGGCATTGGTCCCGCAGAACCGAGTAGGCCTCACACCCCCTCTACGAGCTACCATCCCCCGCCCCCCCGGCTTGCCTGAACGCCCCGCCTTGTCACAATGGACTTGGTCCCGCAGAACCGAGTAGGCCTCACACCCCCTCTACGAGCTACCATCCCCCGCCCCCCCGGCTTGCCTGAACGCCCCGCCTTGTCACAATGGACTTGGTCCCGCAGAACCGAGTAGGCCTCACACCCCCTCTACGGGCTACCCTCCCCGCCCCCCCGGCTTGCCTGAACGCCCCGCCTTGTCACAATGCACTTGGTCCCGCAGACACTGCTAGGCCTCACACCCCATCTACGAGCTACCCCCCCGGCTTGCCTGAACGCCCCGCCTTGACACAATGGACTTGGTCCCGCACAACCGAGTAGGCCTCACACCCCCTCTACGAGCTACCATCCCCCGCCTCCCGGCTTGCCTGAACACCCCGCCTTGTCACAATGGACTTGGTCCCGCAGAACCGAGTAGGCCTCACACCCCCTCTACGGGCTACCCTCCCCCGCCCCCCCGGCTTGCCTGAACGCCCCGCCTTGTCACAATGGACTTGGTCCCGCAGAACCGAGTAGGCCTCACACCCCTCTCTACGGGCCCCCGCGGCTTTCCTAGCGGCCGCACCCCGCCGCCCCCACCGCATCACAGGCGCGTCTCACAACAAACCCCGCGGTGTTGCTGCTGCCGTCGTTGCAAACTGGCGACAAACGCGTTACCGACTGCAATCTTGTAAATAAAGTTGTCAAAAATGGAAGCACGTTCCCCCTCGCGCCGTTCGTGTAAGAATCGGCGGCGTGGCGACTTCGCCCGACGCACAGAGAGCCGTGAGGCCTTCACGCAGACGCCGCGGTCGTCGTGACAAAGGGAGCAGCCGATTGAGAAAGGCGAGACGGAGGCCTCGCACACACAGAGACTCACTCACACACAGAGACTCACTCACACATAGACTCACTCACTCATAGACTCACTCACACACAGAGACTCACTCATAGACACACAGAGACTCACTCATAGAGACTCACTCAGACTCACAGAGACTCACTCACACAGACTCACTCACACAGAGACACACACAGAGACTCACACAGAGACTCACTCACACACAGAGACTCACTCACTCATAGACTCACTCACACACAGAGACTCACTCATAGACACACAGAGACTCACTCATAGAGACTCACTCAGACTCACAGAGACTCACTCACTCAGACTCACTCACACACAGAGACTCACTCATAGACACACAGAGACTCACACAGAGACTCACTCACAGAGACTCACTTACAGAGACTCACTCACACACAGACACACAGAGACTCACTCACACACAGAGACTCACTCACACACAGAGACTCACTCACTCATAGACTCACTCACACACAGAGACTCACTCATAGACACACAGAGACTCACACAGAGACTCACTCACAGAGACTCACTTACAGAGACTCACACAGAGACTCACGCAGAGACTCAGAGACTCACAGAGACTCACAGAGACTCACTCACAGAGACTCACTCACACAGACTCACTCACACAGAGACACACACAGAGACTCACTCACACACAGACACACAGAGACTCACTCACACACAGAGACTCACTCACAGACAGAGACTCACTCACTCATAGACTCACTCACACACAGAGACTCACTCATAGACACACAGAGACTCACACAGAGACTCACTTACAGAGACTCACACAGAGACTCACGCAGAGACTCACTCACAGAGACTCACACAGACTCACAGAGACTCACTCACAGAGACTCACTCACACAGACTCACTCACACAGAGACACACACAGAGACTCACGCAGAGACTCACTCACACACAGACACACAGAGACTCACTCACACACAGAGACTCACTCACAGACAGAGACTCACTCACTCATAGACTCACTCACACACAGAGACTCACTCATAGACACACAGAGACTCACTCACAGAGACTCACTTACAGAGACTCACACAGAGACTCACGCAGAGACTCAGAGACTCACTCACAGAGACTCACACAGACTCACAGAGACTCACTCACAGAGACTCACTCACACAGACTCACTCACACAGAGACACACACAGAGACTCACTCACACACAGAGACTCACTCACTCATAGACTCACTCACACACAGAGACTCACTCATAGACACACAGAGACTCACACAGAGACTCACTCACAGAGACTCACTTACAGAGACTCAGAGACTCACACAGAGACTCACGCAGAGACTCAGAGACTCACTCACAGAGACTCACACAGACTCACAGAGACTCACTCACAGAGACTCACTCACACAGAGACACACACAGAGACTCACTCAGACTCACAGAGACTCACACAGAGACTCACTCACACACAAACTCACACACAAACACACAGAGACTCACATAGACTCACACAGAGACTCACACACAGACACTCATAGACTCACTCACACAGACACTCATAGACTCACTCACACAGAGACTCAATCAGACTCACAGAGACTCACACAGAGACTCACTCACACACAGACTCACACACAGACACACAGAGACTCACTCACACAGACTTACAGAGACTCACTCACACAGACTTACAGAGACTCACTCACAGAGAGACTCACACAGAAACTCAGAGACTCACATAGAGACACACAGAGACTCACTCACAGAGACTCACACACAGACACAGACTCACATAGACTCACTCACACACAGACACAGACTCACACAGACACAGACTCACATAGACTCACTCACACACAGACTCACTCACAGAGACTCACACAGAGACACACATAGACTCACTCACACAAGAGACTCACTCACACACAGACTCACTCACAAACTCACTCACACACAGACTCAAACAGAGGCTCACTCACACAGAGACTCACTCACATAGAGACTCACACAGACTCACGGAAACTCACACAGACAGACTCAAACAGAGGCTCACTCACACAGAGACGCACACAGACTCACGGAGACTCACACAGACTCACTCACACAGAGACTCACACAGACACACAGAGACTCACAGAGACTCACACAGGGACTCACTCACATAGAGACTCACTCATAGACTCACTCACAGAGACACACAGAGACTCACTCACACAGAGACTCACTCACATAGAGACTCACACAGAGACTCACTCACAGACTCACTCACATAGACTCACTCACACAAACTCACTCACACAGAGACTCACTCACAGATTCACTCACTCACAGACTCACTCACAGACTCAGAGACTCACACAGAGAACCATAGACTCACACAGAGACCCACAGACTCACACACAGACCCACAGACTCACACAGAGAACCATAGACTCACACAGAGAC